ATTGTATCTATCCTAAGATGGCATTCATTTAATCTCTCTTTTCTGTTTAACTATTCCATCTTCCCCTACCTCCTTCATTGAACAAGAAATGCCCATAACCTAGAACATGAACTTTTTTCACTACAATCCCACAAACAGTTAAACAAGTCTATTACTCCATATTAATCCAACTACAATAAATCAGGGAAGATAAACCGTGGTTTTCACTACAATCCAAGAAATAATTAAACCAACTCCAACTCCTCTAAATTCACCAAACTACAAGAAATCAAGGGGAAAAAATCTTTTTTCCCTACAATCCCACAAACAATTAAACCACGCCCATTATAGAATTACTCCAAATTCATCAAACTGCAATAAATCAGCCAACACAAACCATGGTTTTCCCCTCAATCCCAGAAGTAATTCAATCAAACCGATTTCCTTTAAATTCACCTACCCACAAGAAATTAACTTCTTACACAGGCAATTAACTTGCTGCGAGAAATGTATAACTTGAAACCAACAACCCAAAAATTACAACATTAGAAAAGATGAGAAATGGGGAAGGAAAATTAGAAACCCAGATATGAAACTAGTTAATTTACAAAAATTAAAGCTGGATTCAGAGAGATCTGGCGAGAATCAAACACGTTTCAAACCCTAAGATATGGAATAGCAAGCAAATAACCAAAGATTATCACAAGCAAAGAATCAAAACCTTGATTTGACGATGGGAAACCTTGATTGAAACAGCCCGTCGAGAAGCCTTCGATTCGGAAAGACGAGCTCAAAACCTTGATTTGAAGATCTACGTCATTCGATTTGGCAACACGATCTGATTTCAATTTTGGGTTGTGGGTTTGTGAGAGAGAAACGTCCTTCGTCACGGTAGAGGGGAGGGAGAGTTGAGAAATGCCGTTTCCCGTGTTTTGCCACTTCCCCTTGTTTTGTTGTTAGTTTTTCCTAAACGATGTTTCTGCAGTTTTCCATTTTTAGCCTTTTTTTTCCATTTTCAAAAACGTATTTTCGAAAATAATAAAGAGAACGCGTTTTCATTATTTTGAAAAATTAAAAACAGAAAACGATTTGAAAACGACAAAGAGAACGAGCCCTAAGTGTTTGTTTTCTTTATCATTTTCAAACCGTTTTCTGTTTTCGATTTTTCAAAACAGTGAAAACGCGTTCTCTTTCCTATTTTCGAAAACGCGTTTTTGAAAACAAGTTAAAAATTTACAAAGAAAATCCAAAACG